CTTTCTCACTTTCCCTATTTCTCTCTCTCTGTTCCTCTCTGGTCAAATTAAAATGAATAAGTAAATAAATAAATTTAAATAAAACAATTCTTTATAAAAAGAAAGAACTGTTAGTATTTTTCTCCTGGGACCTTTGGCTTTGTGCACCAAGAGTTTAAAATATTTTTTCATATTTTTTGTCCCAGTAGTTGTCTATCTAAGAGTATTTTCTTTTCTTTTCTTTTTTTGAAAAGGTTTTTGCTATAGGACACGTGCACTCGCCAGACAGAGAGAGAGAGACAGAGATACAGAAAGCGAGAAATCACCCCCCAGGGGGGACAGCCATGCTGCAATCCCTTCTCCTCCATTCTCCTCTCAGGATCTTGGGCACGCACGCACACACGCCTGGCGTGAGTTTTAAGCCACTGGGTCTGGGACAAAAACTGCGGTCGACTACGTGGGAGTCCAGCAACATAGCCATTACGCTAACTGCTGGTCCTTAAGAGTATTTTCTGAGGACAAGTGAGGTGAGGATAAAGATTTGTATATAGGACCATGAGGTGGCATGGGCTTAAGGCACCTGACTCCCTCATGGCCTACCTAGGTTCTAGTCCCGGACTTAGTGGCTTGCTTTCTCATTTCCCTCTTTCTTTCTCTCTCTCTCTCTGTTAAGTGCACATGCCCTGCAGCAAATCAAAAAATAATAATGATAAATTAAATTAAATTAAAATAATTAAAAGATTTATATACACAGGTGTTTATTTAATGTTGTTATTATTTTATAGACCATATATTAGTTTATTTTTGACACCCATCATGCCATGAATATGTAGGGAATAGTTCCAGTAGCTCAGGCTCCTTCTGTTTTTTGGGTTTTTTTTTTTAGAGTTTTTTGCTATAGAGCATGTGCACTCGTCAGAAAGATAGAGACAGACAGAGAGACAGAAAGCGAGAAATCACCCCCCAGGGGGATGGCCATGCCGTAATCCCTTCTCCTTCATTCTCCTCTTGGGATCCTGGGCACGCATGCACACACAGGCTCCTGGCGTGAGTTTAAGCCACCGGGTCTGGGACTCAAACCACCATTGACTACATAGGAGTCCAGTGACATAGCCATAATGCCATCTGCTGGTCTCCAGTCTCCTTTCCATTGATTCTTACAAAGTGTGCTTCTCCTGGTGGAGTAGGCTGGTACTTCAGTTGAACCCAGGTACCTTTCTCTTTGGCTTCCTTCTTTTTCTGGTCATTTTCCTTCACAGGTTTCAGGAAGCTATCTCTGCTCTTAGAATGCTTAATATGTTCAATATGCACATTCATTCTCTTGGCAAGAATCTTGCCCTTAACTTGTTCATTTACAACAATGCCAACATCGGGGAACCAGCAGTTAGCATAATGGCTATGTCGCTGGACTCCCACAGCCGACTGCGGTTCGTGTCCGGCACCCAGCGGCTTAGAACTCACGCCGGGCATGTGTGCGTGCGTGCCCAAGATCCCGAGAGGAGAATGGAGGAAAAGGGGTTGCGGCATGACCATCCCCCTGGGGGGTGATTTCTCACTTTCTGTCTCTATGTCTCTCTGTCTGTCTGGCGAGCGCACGCGCCCTATAGCGAAAACCTCTCAAAAAAAAAAAAATAAAGAAGAAAAGAAAAAACACAATGCCAACAGCGTGCTGGGTAATACTGTAGACTCTTCCAATTTTGCCATGGTAACATTTGTGGGGTATTCCTTTTTGAACAGTACCTCTTCCCTTGATGTCTACATCACCTTTCTCATAGATTCGCAGATTTGTTGCCAAAGGAACAACTCCATGTTTTCTAAAAGGCCTAGAGAACTTATATCGGGTACC